ATAGGCTTCCAATATATCGATCATTATGTCTCGACCATTTCGAGACTCCTCGTCATGTCCATGATCACATCCGGGACTCCGAACAACCTCGGTACATCAAAATACATAAACTCATAATGAAACTGTCATCGTAACGTTAAGCGTGCGGACCCTACGGTTCGAGAACAATGTAGACATGACTGAGACACGTCTCCGGTCAATAACCAATAGCGGAACCTGGATGCTCATATTGGTTCCTACATATTCTACGAAGATCTTTATCGGTCAGACCGCATAACAACATACGTTGTTCCCTTTGTCATCGGTATGTTACTTGCCCGAGATTCGATCGTCGGTATCTCAATACCTAGTTCAATCTCTTTACCGGCAAGTCTCTTTACTTGTTCCGTAATACATCCTCACAACTAACTCATTAGTTGCAATGCTTGCAAGGCTTATGCGATGTGCATTACCGAGAGGGCCCAGAGATACCTCTCCAACAATCGGAGTGACAAATCCTAATCTCGAAATACGCCAACCCAACATGTACCTTTGGAGACACCTGTAGAGCACCTTTATAATCACCCAGTCACGTTGTGACGTTTGGTAGCACACAAAGTGTTCCTCCGGCAAACGGGAGTTGCATAATCTCATAGTCATAGAAACATGTATAAGTCATGAAGAAAGCAATAGCAATATACTAAACGATCGGGTGCTAAGCTAATGGAATGGGTCATGTCAATCAGATCATTCACCTAATGATGTGATCCCGTTAATCAAATAACAACTCTTTGTCCATGGTTAGGAAACATAACCATCTTTGATTAACGAGCTAGTCAAGTAGAGGCATACTAGTGACACTCTGTTTGTCTATGTATTCACACATGTATTATGTTTCCGGTTAATACAATTCTAGCATGAATAATAAACATTTATCATGATATAAGGAAATAAATAATAACTTTATTATTGCCTCTAGGGCATATTTCCTTCACCACCTATATATATGTGGGGAGGGGGCGCCTCACAAGCACACAACATCAATTGTTAGCCGTGTGCGGCGCCCCCTCCACAGTTTACACCCCCGGTCATATTCTCGCGGTGCTTAGGAGAAACCCTGCGCAGATCACGTCACCATCACCGTCACCACACCGTCGTGCTGACGGAACTCATCTACTACCTCGCCCCCTTGTTGGATCAAGAAGGCGAGGGACGTCACCGAGCTGAACGTGTGCAGAACTCGGAGGTGTCATAGGTTCGGTGCTTGATCGGTCGGAGTAAGAAGAAGTTCGACTCCATCAATCGCGTTGTCAAATGCTTCCGCTTTCGGTCTACGAGGGTACATGGACACACTCTCCCCCTCTCGTTCTACGCATCTCCTAGATAGATCTTGCATGAGCTTAGGAACTTTTTTGAATTGCATGCTATGTTTCCCAACAACCATGACCATCGGCAAGGCCTGTGCCCATTATATGGACATGGTGCGGGTGGAGAAGTTCCGGGAGGCTTTGGACGATGCCAAATACAACCACAACCTCCTCCAGGAGCATCTGCGGGCGGATGAGCAGGTGATGTCTACTACACAACTTTATTCTTGTAGACTCGGTTAGGCCTCCAAGCGCAGAGTTTTGTAGCATAAGAACAAATTTCCCTCAAGTGGATGACCTAAGTTTTATCAATCCGTAGAGCATAGAATGAAGATGGTCTCTCTCAAACAACCTACAATCAAATACAATAAATCTCTTGTAGCCCCAACACACCCAATACAATGGTAAATTATATAGGTGCACTAGTTCGATGAAGAGATGGTGATACAAGTGTAGTATGGATAGTATTATGAAATATTAAAAATAGCAAGGTAGCGAGTGATAAAAGTGGGCACAAACGGTATTGCAATGCTTGAAAACAATACCTAGGGTTCATACTTTCACTAATGCAATCTCTCAACAGTGCTAGCATAATTGAATCATATAACAATCCCTAACATGCGACAAAGAATCACAACAAAGTTTCTATCGGAGAACGTAGGACGGAAACGTGTGTCAACCCCTATGCCTAGATTACCCTAATGTCACCACAGGAATCCGTAAGTTGAATACCAAAACATGTATCAAGTGACTTAATAGAATACCCCATTATCACCACGGGTATCCACATACGAGACAAACATCAAGTGATCTCAAATCCAATATTCAATCCAACATAACGAAACCTCAAAGAGCAAGACTCAATTCATCACAACAAGATAGAGTGGGGAAAACATAATATGACCCGACTATATTAACAAAGCTCATGGTACATCAAGATCGTGCCAAATCAAGATAATGAGAGAAGAGAGAGAGAGAGATCAAACACATAGCTATTGGTACATACCCTCAACCCCGAGGGTGAACTACTCCCTCCTCGTCATGGCGACCTCCGAGGTGATGAAGATGGCCTCTGGTGATGATTTCCCCCTCCAGCAGGGTGCCGGAAAAGGGTTCTAGATGGGATCTCTTTGGAACAAAGGCTTGTGGCGGCGGAGCAGAAGTTCTAGGCTTCTTTCTGGGGTTTCTGTATTTATAGGATTTTTTTACGTCGGTTTCACATCAAGGGGACCAGAAGGGACCGAGAAGCTCGGACGGTGTGGCGTACCCCCGAGGGCGCGCCCCCTGAGCTTGTCACTCCCCTGGACTTTGTCTAGTCCAGCTCTCAGGCTTTAGGGTTCTCTTTTGGTCCATAAAAAATCACAGTAAATTTTCAACCCAATCTGAGAACTTTTATTTCTGCACAAAAATAACACCATGGTAATTCTGCTGAAAACAACGTCAGCCCGGGTTAGTTTCATTCAAATCATATAAAAATGCACCAAAACCATATAAAATTGTTGTAAACATAGTATGGATACTTCATAAACTATAGATAGTTGGAGACGTATCAGCAGGTCACCGCCGGCAGGGCGGTCACGCCGAACGCGGACCTCACGGAGCAGGTGGCGCTGCTCGAGTCCTACCGCTCCGCTTGCGAGATCCGCCTCGCCAGCTGGCGGTACTGGTAGCGGGTGGCATAGGTGGCGGCCGCCGGCAAGGAGTGCGACGACGAGGCGGGGGAGGCATTGTTCGGCGAGATCAACGAGGAGGACATCGCCGAGGCCGTGCCCCGGCGCCACGACCATGAAGAAGTCGGCATGTCCGCGGGTGCTGCCGGCAACGAGGAACAGTAGTGCACGGTAGGTCGCCGTCGCTCGTGTCCCAAGAAGGCCACCATTCTCCCGTCGATGCCAAGCATGGTGGGCTGAGCATCTTGCTTGGCGGCGATGTGCAGGCGGACAGCTTCACTTCCCGGGCCTCCGAAGGCGGATGTTATGGAGGCAGAGCTGGAAAGGCAAAGTTTCAGTTCTCTTGGTTCACGGCCGGACATGGGGATCAGGCGCCGACGACCATTAAGACCTAGCTGGACGAGCTCCGCTTAGTTGATGTAAATGTAATGAAATCCATTAATTTTAAATGAAATCCATTATGTTTATATGAAATCCGGTCATGCTTAATCGAATTTCGTCCGATTAGTGTGAGTTGTCAAAATGTACGCGGGCGTCGATTGTCATCTTCTCGCATCCGTGTCCGTGCATTCATCTCCTCTCCACAGACGGATGCAGGTGAAAATTTACGGGGTGCCATGCCCTAAGAACAAAGACTACAACTCGGTGTACTTTAGTTCCTCCGAGTCCATAAGTACCCCACTCAGACTCACAGTTCAAATTACGTAGTCAATGCCAGCAAGCTCCAACACCCTCCGCCCTCCAGCACTCTCTCGGCCCTCCAACTCCAAGATCTGAATCAAGAAAACCGCCGGCGATGGGCTGCTTGGGCCGGTGCTGGGACAAATGCAAGTGGCCACTAGCGTGCTTCACCGCCCTCGCCGCCGTCATCATCATCGTCGTCATGGTCGCCGCCTACAGCTTCGCCATCCAGCCATCCATCACCGTCGAGGACGCCTCGCTGGCCAGGTTCGCGCTGGCGACCACCCCGACGACGTCGCTCGGGTACAACCTCTCGCTGCGGCTCGTCGTCCGCAACCGCAACTGGGCGACGACCATGAAGAACACGGAGCCGCTTGAGGCGGCGTACAAGTTCGACGGCCAGCAGTTCGACCGCGTGCAGGTCGCCGACAAGGGCGACAAGCACGGCCCCAGGAAGACCCGGGTGTACCGCCTCGTCACGGGCCAAGAGAGCGGCTACGTGGCGCTGGGCAACGCCGGCGTCGCCGCGTACAAGGAGCAGAACAAGACGGGGGAGTTCGAGCTGGAGGTGGCGGTCACCGGCGAGGTGCGGTACACGCTGCAGCTGAAGAAGAACAAGCTGGCGGGGACCTGCAAACTCAAGCTTAAGCTCGACTCGCCGGCGACGGCCTCCGTTGTGTTCGAGAGGGTGAAATGCAAGCTCGAGAAGGAGAAGAAGGACAATGAGTAGTTAATTTGCTAGCTACTACTGTGTACTGTATGGTTTTCATCCAAAGTTCCAAGCAATCTATGGCGGTCGAGTAGTTGTAGTTGTAGTACCTCTCGTTTATTTGATTCCTTCATTATGTAAAAAGATTTTCGTTCGTGAATCTTGGTTTCTAGCATTTGAAATTTGCATGTGCTATGTTTCTCTATATTTTTCCTACAAGATGTGAATAGCTACTACTTCCTCCGTT